TTTTTGTTTTTTTCTGTATTTAGATGGAATATTAACGTTTCTGTCCCAAACATATAGTTTAGTATAGTGGATGACACCTACCAATTTTCAAGGAAATATTGAAAATGAGCTTTCTAATAATGACTACGAATTATATTTACAAAAAGGCATGGAAGTGTTGTGCCATAGTGTGGTCATGCTGATTTCTTTCCAATTTTGATTTTCGTTTCTACTTCACTAAAAATTGAACCTTACCATCAGATTCAGAAAGTAGACGACTCACTAACATTCGATGAGCAAATTCTGGCTGCAGCGAAATCAATTGCAACTGCCGTACAGACCCTTGTGAAAGCAGCATCTGCAGCACAGCGTGAGTTGGTCGCTCAAGGAAGGTAATACTTTATTGGGTACTTATTAAAAAAAGATTTTTCATGAACATGGTATAGATTTTGCATAGAAAACTAAATCGCCGGTAATTTCTCTATATTAACTGATATAATTTTATATATGATTTTCAGACTGGAAGCTCACCCAGCATTTGCAACAGACGATTACCAGTGGTCGGAAGGACTGATCTCAGCATCTCGACTTGTTGCAGCAGCCGTTCATCAGCTTTGCGAAGCAGCTAATGCACTTGTACAAGGGCATTCTTCTGAAGAGAAACTTATTTCGGCTGCAAAACAGGTATATATAGATAGTAAATATATAGATATCCCATCCATAACATATGTAGCAAAAAAGGGCCGTATATAAGCATAAGCTGATTGTTTGTTATACATAAATGCTTTAAGATTTATGGAAGGACTGTTCAAACCTTGTGAGGATAAAGGTGTGTTGGATATTATATGGTTTTAATTGTTACGTAATAATGCTCTTCACGTACCTCTATTAAATTTTCCGAAAGTTAATTTAGTGATAAGGCATGTGAGTAAAGAAATGCGGGAGGCTTCTGAAAAATATCTAAGATGTATTGTGAGAGAAACAACGGAATGTAATGGGTTTGAGTAATTAAATGATGGAAGTGAATTTAAAATACGCGATCAGTTCTTCATTATTTAGGTAGCCTCTTCAACTGCTCATCTTTTGGTGGCGTGTAAGGTAAAGTCAGACTTAGATAGTCGTGCGATGCAGAGGTTGCAAAGTGCGGGACATGCTGTAAAGACAGCTACGGAACATTTGGTAATGGCGGCTCGTTCAGCGATACATGAGGATGAGCGTACTTTAATCATTTCACAGCGCATGGTTTCAGGTATTGCGCAGGTATATAATTACTGATTTAAATTTTGTAGATGTTTTATCCTTTCTAAGAGATATATATAGTGGTTAATGTTGCTTTATTATGGACTTTGCTAACTGCTCCCGAAGTTTTCAAAAAAAAAATCCAGATATGATGCTGGAAAACTTTCATTCACTAATTAGATGTTCATACACTGACGGGCTTCCATTATTTGCATTCTGGAAAAGTTACTGACCTGAAAATGGGTGTAGCGGGATGCTGTTGCAGGTGATGGACGCCCAGGAACAAGTTCTTCGTAAAGAACGTGAACTGATTGAAGCGCGGGGGAAATTAGCAGCGTTGAATAAGGCTCGATATGAACGTGGTATGTCTCCCAACGCTGATCGTTAAAATACCTTCCTGTTAAACATGACGGTATAAGAGGCAAGCGCAAGTAGTGCTTCATGTAAGAATCATCTGTTTTGCTTCGAGATTTGTCTGATTCATTTTGTGAATATGGTAGTTGAAGTAGTGTCGGATGCAAGTGTTACTCGAACTTTTCACAAGTGCCATTTGCCACAGATTTTTAACTGTTCTTATTGCTGTTTTACAAAATATTTCAAATATATTTCAAAATATAGCTGTTTCACAAAATATATTTCTGACGTATTTTGTTCATGAAACACAAATGCCAGAGTCACTTTTCATCCATCTTTTCTCATATTTAACCTACCTTTGAAAATGAAACAGCTTCTTAATTGTCCGTGATCGTCGTTATTACCAGATCTGATGGACTTATAGTGAAGCTGAGCTTTGCATATGGAGATCTACTGTAAATGATCACTCACATTGCATAAATTCCAACTAAATCAAGTAATTTAAAAGATTTGTTCATTTTCTAGATAAATCTACACCTTTATATTTAAATTTACATCTCATTTTCAAAACATTTCGGTGAGTTTATTCTAGTCGATCAATACGTAAGAATATCTTTCTTCTGCATTTTTCCCTAAGCCATAAAGATTAATAATGTTTTACTGTTATTTCCAGTATTTCACTCTGAAGTGATTATTCCATTGTTTCTGCTCACAAATATTTCATCTATTGAAATAGCACTTATACGTACGCGTATACCTTGCATAGCAAGTTTCCTTTTTCTTGTTAACCACATATCGCCTTCCAATTTACTGTTCATGTCATATTGCCATATTGTATATTAATAAAGTGATACACCTTGCAGATTATAAATTTATGGGATTGATTAGGGGAATTTGATGATTCATTTGTTACAATCACTAAAAATGATTAGCAAATGAATCGAAATGTCCAACAATCATATCAATTTATAAGAGTTATTTTTGCTTAAATAGGAAGGCGAAGCAGTGGTTGGGTGTTACTGAAAAAGTATGGTAACTCGGAACTGTTTAATGCAAGGATGAGAAGGCGCGCGTTTATTTTTGTACATTTGGATAGAATCTCATGACATGAAGATTGTATGGCTTGCAACAAACTGATATAGTTGAATAATTTTGGATACAGCAACAATCGGATATGTAAATGTTTTGAGCTTCTGTTGCTGACTTACCCAGATTCATGTGAGAATAGAGGGATCCAGGTATGATGTTTCGAAATTTAGTGTTCGATAAATCGAACAATTAAATTGGGGGATAGATAACTAAACATGAAGGATTCCACTTTAGAGTCATAAAATTTGCTATTGTTGCACGACTTATATGCTGCCATTTTGCGGGTGAATTTGAAGACTTCTAATTTGGAATGACGGACTTTATGGTTTTACGACCGTCTTTCTCCTTCAATTACACACATTTAACTAATTTTTGGCCGGTTCCAGCAGCACAGTAGTTCAATTAAATTTCATTTCATCTTTCTGTAGAAAAAATTAGAAAATATCTCGTTAAAAGCTCATTTTCGCGAAGATGCATACGGTATTTTCAAGAACACAAAAATTCCTTAGAGAGTGAAGTCAATTAATATGATTGGTCCTTTGTGATCTGATTCAAGTAGAAATTTCACAGTGATGCCATTCAAATATTTAAAATACGTTCGAGAGGTGCTTCTTGGTCTGTTTCATAAAAGGGTATATCTGATACCAATCGATGGGAAAGAAGTTGAAACTTGAATACCTGAAATGTTAAAGAGGAAAAGTCCGCGGACTGATAACCTTACCACTGTCATACTATTTGAACCAAAATTGCTTAAGTTTCGATAACTATTCTCTCGATGATAATAAAATTTTTAATTTTTTTTCTTAAATAGCATGTATTATCCAGGCAAAAATAAGTACAGCAAACTGCGAAAGACATGGAGGCCAGCGGGTGGTCACCGACAAGTACAAGGAAGGAGGATAATGCGGCAGCCGACATTTACCGACAATCCATCCATCCATTCATCCAAAGGCAATTATTTGATTTCCTGTCTTGCCCATCATTTGATTATTTCTTTTTATAAAACTGTTTGCTATTTTTTTCTTCTTTTCCGCTAAAATGAGCAACTGATTTATTCTATTTTTTTTTTCCTGGAATTTTAGAAGATGAAATACAAAAAAAAAAGTAGCAGTAATACGCATGCGCGTTCAATTTCTTATTAAAAAAAAAAGTTTCTTTTGGGATATTTAAATTTCGTCTTTCAAAGCTTCATTTTTTTGATTTCTGTTCGCCTCTTATATTTGAAATATCGTTTGCCTTTCAACCATTGAATAATTAATTCTTCATGTGCATCATTTCCGGCTGCTCCCTTAAAAGCGATGAAACGGAATAGTGTTCTAGGGCTAAATTCAATTCAAATTATCAATTTTAACAGATATTGGAGCTGTGAAAAGAAGTATTCTTATTTCGTAGCATATATGAGTTAATAATACACGGAATAATAAAGAAGAGAAATATAAAATCAGAAGTGAATTGTTGTTTATCTGCTAATTAAATGGCATCACTTAATACAATTCTGGTTCTCACGCGGATACCTTGTCATCTTTTCCCCTCATCACCACAGTGATGCAACAGCTATATGCCAAAAACTGGGCTTCCATCTCTCTGAAAAGAGACAAGAGAAAAAGCTGACGACCCTATCCACCAAAAATTAGTGGGACTAATTAATCTCTTGGCTCATCTGTGATTCAAAATTAATGCAATGACACATCTACTTCCATACTTCCATAAGAGTAGTTTGTTTCGAATTCGGTGCAGAATTTAAAGATGAGTGATTTAAAATGAATTATTCATATTATCAGCAACTATATACAATTTACAAATGAATCGGATTGTAGAAAAGCAAACGGTTACTCTATCGATGATATCTGCAGCAGATAGTTAGCAAGTTAAGCTTATAATATTTTAGCAGTTTGTTTATATCAGTAAAAACATTGGAATAGTGCAAATGATAGGTACTGAAGAAGCAAAAAGTTGTGAATTCTTTCAGTAGCACCGAAACAATACGAAGAAACTGATTGGTCTCCGAATGACCGACATACAAGAAGTAAATATTTTCAATCGAACAAATTGTTTTGCCACAATCTTTGGGAAGTTATGAGAAATGAACAGGCCATTTTCACTGTAACGCCAAATATTCTAATTGCAAGTGGAAACCCATCGGTGCCTAAGACAAGTATTGCATTTCAGATGACAGCACCAGACAAATTGGCAATCACACTGATATGATATCAGTTCGTGCGATACCTATAAAGATATATACTCACTGCATAAAATAATACTGGGGACGATGCTCAGAAAGATGCATATATCTTTAAGCATACCGTAGCTATAGAATGAAAATATAGAGAATCCAACTTTCTAACTTCATACTACCGATAGCAGTTATAATTTATCTACGCAGTTTATTTTGGATCGACCACGTGAATAAGTTTTGGACCGACCACGTGAGTAAGCGTTGTAGCGCAAATTTAAAGAGGCACCTTGAATCCGCGTCCACAACACAGTAAACCACAATCACCCTGGCTATTTGTTTCGTTCCTCCAGCTGCATATCCTATTAGTTATCCGGGTTGAACGGCATGGATCGGGACTGTCTTCCATGTATATCAGTTCTGCATTTTTTGCCGGAGAATTTACATCCGAAAGTCTTCTGGCCTGAAACATAAATATATTAGATTTGAATACGACATCAATAGTAGTAAATTAATTTTGTGTTGAGCATAACTGATAAGTAATAGAAAAGACCTTATTCATTTTATTAGTAATGTGTTGTACGATAGTAGAGAGTGCAGCAGTTTTCTTCCAACAAGTTTTCTGATCACAACTTCCGCTTACACCATGACATTTACAGGATGATATCAAAGTTTTTTTTACCGCCTGAAATCAAGTAGATTTATTAACTTAGAACTTACACGACTATAAGTCGCAATAAATTAGTAAATTATCACTACTATTAATCAGATGAATCTTTTTAAATTACACGTCGATTCCACTTATTTCAAAGTTTACTTATTGAAATATATATGAAATTGCAACGCCGTTCCAAGTTAAAATAATAATAATTCATTTGGAGCTAATAGTCAAAATAACATTGCCTGAGCAAAATGTCAACATTTTGGTGTTGAGTGTTTTGTGGCGCTTTTTATTTTAAGTATTCCATGATAGGAGAATGGAAAATGAATCCTCACCAATCTTCCAGCCTTCAGGTTGTGTTTTTCCAGCTTTCTTAAGGGTGACCGAGAAATAGCATTTCTTGTAAGCAGTTTTCTGGATGTTATTATCCCGAATTGTACGCCGTATGAGCAACCACCCCACTCCCAGCTTTGCTTCAATTCATCATGACCGTTACATGTGCAATCGGGGAGCCATCCTTGAGAGCAAGCAGTTGCAACACCCCACGCTGCACCCGCTGATGAAAGTGCCCATAGGTATGCCGATTCTCGGGTCCCTGAACAAATATGTTATTATGGTAATGAGATCTTTTGTAATACATGGTATTTTTCGATTACTAACCTATAAAAATTAACAGAGTTCCTGAATTCCTTTATCTATCTTCAAGCAGCTTAGCTTGAAATAAGATGTGATTAACCGTACCGAGACGTAGAATAGGTGGGTCTTGCAGTACTGTAATAATATGGGAACAGTCCCAAGGCTGGAAGCGCATCTGTTCCTTGCACTGACTCATTGCGTCCTGCATTCCTTCGTAAGCTGCTACTGCTATCGCAGGTTGACTACGACACAATACATGGAAATGTCGATAGGATCGTAGGTGGAGGAGTTCTGGCGAGCAGCCCTGATATAAACAATCGTTATGGTTGTCAATATTTGATGTTTGAGTGACGCAAATGCACATAAACTAGAAGCTATTGATGATGCAACGTTTCGAAGAACTCTATTGACGTATTGAGAAGGAACGAGACTTCCAAGTGAAATGAATACCTGAGTTAGTTTTTCAGGTGGTGTTGTGGGAACACCGTAAACCATCTCCTCTAGCAGCAGTGCACACAGCAAACAACCATACAGTAACGGTGCATAACATTCAACTAAAAAGTATTGTGAGTGATAACTTGCAGTGTTGATAAATTAAATGCACTTCTGATTTTGTGGGAATTTGTTTAAGAATACCAATATTGCAAAAATGCATAGAATGTATTGGCAAGACCACATTGATATACGATATGATTTGATCAAAAGATTGGAACATTGCTATAATTTGGATAGTTTTTGCACCATCGTCTAAAACTTTTTAGGCTCACCTGAGTTTACATAAAAGATATGAGAGCAAAAAAAACTTTCTGCAGAAAAATATGTAGTGTAATAAAATAGATGGCTAGCAAAAATTACTTTCAAACAGTTAATTTAGATGAAAATTTCATTCTTGGGAAACTCAAACAGCTAAGATATCCTGATCACTGATTAACGACTATCATCGAACTAATAAAAATGCAATTACTTATATTTGGGTTGATGTCCCAATACTTAAGTATTTCCTTTCTTAATGTCATTAATGATCGATGATTAAAATGCAAAATAAAGTTCAGTTCAAGGTTTCAGGGATGGATTGACGATACTTGTGATATGGAGGAAATTGGTTGACGAAAACTAATGATGCGGCAACAAAATTTGCTTTCAAATGCAAAAAGGGTTGAAGAAAAGGAATAATGTCTTCCACTCACTCAAATTGATATCAATCCTTTTCTCCACAAACCACATTTTCCTCGCCGTTCTACTTTTGCCCGTTGCTTCTACTGATTTTTCCAATAACTGCCAATTTCTTAATCTAGCAATGATGCAAATAGAATAAAAAGGGTGAGAATAAAGTTGAATGATGGATGGTAACAGAGGAATTTCAGGATATATCGAGAGTACAAATGTGTTGCACAACTTTTGAATTTGTACACAAATCAACTTTCGATAGATGCGAATTGATAAGCAATACTTTGATGATTGTGAAGAAAATCAGAGAATAATAATCCGAGAACACTCTGCAAGAATTCTATTGTCAGACCAGCTGAGTTCTCGAATGAAAACTTTCTGCAGAATATACCTCAACAATAACACCCAATTTACCAGAAAAATTAAAATAGCAGTGACTATAATTTCATGGATCTATTGTATTGCAGCAATGATAAAAGGAGTAGTTCTTTGTTTGGACAGGTTTACAATGGCCACGAAATAGTAATGGAGCAAAGTTTACAATCTCGGAGGAAGGGCACACTATTACCAGTGCCTCTTACCACAACCCCTAAAAATTGTTGGATAGTTCTTCGTAAAAATGCTTTAATTAGTAATATAACTTTTTTTTTTACAGCTTCTTTGATTTCCTTTTCAGTGGTAGTAGTGTAGAATAAGTAGAATTTAAAAATAGAGTAGTTTATACAGTGTACTAATAACCTTTTGCAGACCACCCAAGCAGTTTTTTATGTAGATTTATGCAAATTATGGAAGAACTGGACGAAAAAATTAGGTTGAAACAGCCTTCTCGTTGTGTTTTTATGACAAAGTAGTACCATCGATTCAGGTGCATCGTGAATCAGCGAGCGAATACCCATACAGGCATATACAAACATAGGTAGTGAATCCGAAAGTTCCCTTCTTCATTCCTCTTTGAAGTATCCTCCTCCTCTTCCTCCTCCTTCTTTTCAAATTCATTCCTCCCAGCAATGCTTGTGTCATCCTCCTCCTCTTCCAACATAGTTGCAACGGCAAAATGCTCCTTACCACAAACTTTGTCGCTTCCTTCACATAATATAATCAGTCGTTGAAATTCAAGTTTTGCTAATGTGTAGAACAAAGTTATCGTTTCCTTACCGTATCGTTTCAGCAATCCATGCAATGGAGGAGTTACTTGGAAATGGGCGGTTCTGTCTTCTCCCGATGTGTGGTGAATGTATGCTCTGTTATCCTGTTTCTCTCTGTAAGGTTTTTCTTCTAGAATTCCCGCTTTATTTTTGAGGAGTCGAACGGTATGTACCATCTTCAGATCGATCCGTCTCTCGGCAACATTTCTCCTACGCTTCCAGATCAACTCCACATTTAAATTGGACTTTTGATATCCACCGTTTTACAACATCCTTATCACTTTGGTTTATTTGATTGTCTTGTTCATTGCTAATTAACAAGAACTATTAGTACCAAATTCATTAACAGTTCCGGGACATTCTTCGTTAGTAACGTTTCAAACATTTTTTTCCACCACCGGCTGAAAAATGTACCTTCGTGAAGTTCAAAGTGATCTGCTGCCATCTGAATGTCGCAATTAACTTTTTGTTCAATTATCACTTTGTTAATAAATCCAGTACTTTCAACATAAACGAAATTTACTTCATAAATTCGAATTTGAATCAATTTCTATTTGATTTCTCGCACAGTTATTGCATTTTCCAAGGACAAGTAAATTATCCTTCAAACGAGTCGATAACTTCTTATGTTTAAACTCGGACAAAATTAAAAATCTTTTATTCTTCCAAGCAAATTTCCAAGCAAAAACAGCTTTTTTCCTACTTGAATTTATTCCATCACTTCCTTAATTTGAATTTTCAAGTTCAAAAGTCAGAAAGTAATTTTATCGCTGCAATTTCCAGATTTAACTTAGTCCGTTTTTGGTGTATTATGTAATCTGTTAGCGAGATTAATTAATTATCAGATCAGTGACTTGTTTTAAGCATTGTGTAAGAAAGGTTTTGGATTGTTTTAGTTCCAAAGATTTAAGTAGTAGTTATTACGGAGAATAAAAGAAATAAAGATGTACTTTTAATAAATAAAAGAATAAAGATATATTTGCAAAGTTTCATGTTTTTGATTGCAAACAATCACTATTTCTTCTTTTGTCACAATTCATATAAATGAAATTAAACTTTTGATCGTTGACGAGGTTTTCCATTACGCATTGTCCAGTTTCGAGTATCAATAAACCACAATGGTACCACTCTGCAACAAAGCTGATTTTATAAATGATTGCTAAAAAATGAGAAATATCCACCATGTTGCCTGATCTACCATATTTGAGTGAAACTTTTTTATGTAAAAACAACAAGAGAATACTTATTGCGATTATATTTTGAGTCACATATGTAAATCAAATGACAAAAAAAGGAGCAAATTTCATTTCTTTGTTAAACATAAACATGATCCACAAGGCAATGCAAGACAATAACCCTTCCCTATTGCGGATCGGTAAAGGAGAGCATTGTTAACTGGTGTTGCCTTCTATCATTGAATCAATGCAGTAGTGCTATTTATCAAAAGATATCGTAATAATGTTGAAAAGTGTCACAATATTTTCCGGGTCACAATTATACAAAAAAGCAAATAAATTAAAGATGGATTTGTTTGCTAGATTGTGAGCTTGTGTAGAAAACCTGTCATGAGTGCGTAGTGGTGTGTTATCAAGAAAGGGCTGAATTGAATGACTAAACATTTCTCCTATTTCTGATTGCTTATTAGTCGATAACATATTTAAAAAGCTCGAAAACGTACTTGTGCCGCATGTTCCGCTCGTTTCGTAGTCTTAGGCACGTGATCCGTGAGGTTGGTAAATTGTTGGAGCGTCGGATACGACGCGACCGCAACAATGATTCCATAATGGCATCACCAGTCGTTTCGAATGGTACCACTTTCGCCTCACAATGCCGTCGTCGACAGCTCCCAAAAGCCGAAACGCAGTGACATTTGATATGCAAGGCAACACGCTCAAAGTTGTATTCTATTTCAATCATTGTGGAATCGAGAATTTGAATACTTTGATTTCGAAGTACAGAAGAAACGGTAAGTCAAATGAAAAGACAAAGAAGTGAAGCGTCAACACCTTAAATGCTAAGGAAGTGACAAACTTCACAAGGTTTACATATGTAAGCATTTACCGATCGACCAACAGCAATGTTGTGTAAATAGATTTGTGCCACTCTATCGGAGTAAGAACAAGCAAATTGACGATCAATCAAACGTCTGAAAATATATTTTAACTCTGATTGGATATTAGCAGTCTTACTTAATCTTAGTTAGAATATGGTTCTATCCAGGTTACGGATTCTGAGAATCAAGGAGCAATACAAAAGAGGAAGGGAAAGGATTCAAGCGGTTCAGTATAACAATACAATTTAAACAGAAAAGAAGTTTTGACAATTCATAAATTGAGAGGGACAAAGACATGGATCATTATTGTAAAAACATTTGGGATGAATATTGAAATATATGCAAGAAATTGTTTTGATGAAATTGATGAAGCGTTATTAGTTGTGCAGAATGGAACCCTTTTTCTTTTAATTTCTTTAATTCAATTTGTATTCACAATCAAAAATTGAGGACAACACTGAATTTGTTTTTCTCGAAAGAACGATTTTGGGTCGTAATTGATGACTAATGGGACGATTACAATTAAATTTTTGAAAAAAAATTGATAGTTAGAAGTTGGGAAAGGAGTTTCCTCTAGCACTGAAATAATAACGAATTTTCAATAATTTTGAGTATGGCTTAATACTGTTGAAAGCGAAGTGTGAAATATTCTGACGAGTCACTACAAATTTAATTTGAGGTAATACAATAACAAGGAAATTGACAATGAAAGACTGACGAAATTTGAGTTGCTTTAGGACCTTAAAGTTTAATTGTTTTTCCAAAAATAAGTTTTTAAGAGAGTGATGGATGTAATGTTGTCCTTTCCAATAAAGTAAAAGTACTACTTTAAACTATATGTAAAGAATACTGACAAATAGTTCGATTCTTACTCTTTACGAAAAATCATAAATTTTATCAAAAATTTTGTTCATAAATAAGCAGTGGAAATGATCAAATCAACTGAAAGGAGTGCCATAAATTGTTAGAGATTAATTCTACGAGTTCTTTTTGATAACCCTTAGTCGTGCTATCTTTATGCTTAGCCGATAACATATGAAGAGACAATATCAGGTAGAGATATCAAAATGAAGGATTGAGAATTTGCAATTTTCGAACTTTATCTAGCGAAAGTAGCCATACTTCGACAATTTTATAGCATATCGTAAATTGTCGGATCCTCGGTCAACACTGCATCTTGCCCATGTGTCACGTTGATCTGCATGTACTGGACCAATCCTTGCCGGATCACAAGAACATGATCGAAGGCGTCCACGAGCACATGCATGAGCTATTGCGCGCACAGCGGCGGCGCTGGAAAGCGCTAGGAAATATGCAAATTCTTTGCTGGCTGAAATTCGATGCAGCATTTATCGAAGTTTTTATATTTCGAGTAATTACGGAACAGCCTAGTGGAGTAAGAAAGTTTGATGGCACCTAACTTGCAGACGAAGCAGAGATATGACGATGAACGACATCAAAACTTATTGCAAAATTTTGAATCGAACTGAACATGTTAATAAACGAGGAAAATCTTTCTATTGTGTACACCGGAATGTCTGGTCAAAAGTACTTGCCGAATGAAGCAACACTGGAGAAAAGGGTCTTCCGGGGTGCTCCATCAACGTTGCATTTCCAGTGATGGATGACTGATTGTCGTGAACACTCAAATAGTGTATCTTGTAGTGCCTCTTTCAGGACATCAATCAAAACGGGATCTTTCTGCAGAATACGGTATAATGGCTTATCCAATAATCCTTTCACCTGCAATTTATATACATTTTCTCCCCTTTTGTGTTTTATATCTTTGTAGAAATTTAGTAGAATTTGTTCCTTTCTGGTGGTGCAATACTGTCAAGTATTGGGATACTATCATAATACATCGCCTTAGTTTTAAATCCTTTTCTAGCTAAGTTTTGATAACAAATATTTTATATACTATCATGAAGTATATAAAAAAACAATGAGCATTACTCTCTTTTGAGCAATTGTTTCCCTGCAAGAAATTATCGTTTAAACTTTATACAACCATAACACTTCAATTTACGATTTAAAAGAATCTCAATTTCCTATTTTTATACAGATTTAAATTGAAAAGTTTGTGATGAAAAAGATAGCAAACAAACCTCAAGAAGTGAAGAATGAATCCAGTAAACTTTCCTAAAATTATATTATTTGATAAATACAGTTACTACTCCAAAGAGGGATGAAATGTATTCATTGTATCTTCCATTACTTCATTTTGTCATGCCAAATCAAAAATTTCAAATTTAAAGTAGAATAGGTCTTACCACCACTGGGGTTCGTCTAGGGCGAATGATGTGATAGTTAAATTACTAAATGATAGGAGACAGAGGCACAACAATGCGGGTGTCACTAGTATCATGCGCATATTGTAATGACCACTAGCACCTGTTTCCTTCTTCAGGAACATCTGTGTGTGTTTGTTCAAAATATTCATATTACTGATTTGCAAAATGCATAAGAAATCATATTCCCATCCTCGACATTTCTGTACCCGAACCCTTTTCTTTATCTAATCTTCCCTTTCCCTTTCATTTTTCTATCACTTCCCCCCACAACTTCCGCTCTTTTCTTTTTTTGAAAATTTCGCCCAGTATTTTCTTTTCATTTTTAAAATAAAATATGAAAACTAAACAAGAAGAGGATTAACTGGCTAATAGCAATCAAAATATTTTAAGGGACCAAAAGAATAGCTATTCTTTATTGAAAGATTATGTATTGCTCACGGATCATGATGAATTCATGAAATCCAGAATATCACAATACTAATCTTCAAGATTTTTCATTATAATTCAAAGAAAGTAGGTTAAGAATGATTTGATCAGCTATTAATTAATCATTAAAATGTTCTCATTTTCAAATATCTATCATCAGCTACATGCTTCATCGCTTCGTACAACATATTGATCTGCCAGATATGAATGAAAATTTACTTCGATATCAGTTCTATCCATGTTTACTTTTCATTGCTCCCATCGCTTCTCGATTTTCTTACGCCACTCTCAACTCTTTTACTTTGCATTCTCTTTCTATTTCACGCCAAAAAAAGCAGCTCTAAATTTATGCGAAATTGTAAATCCGACATTTTATAAAAGCGTATTTTACATGTTACATTACGTCACTGTGTTATTATTATCTCCTAATGAAAAAAAAATTCAGTCAAGCTCAGGGAATACTAGCAGGACAGCATTGGTGACAACGACTAGTTCCCGTGATGTAATGTTTGTCCAAGGTGCTGCTTATATGCAGCTGTGTGAGACAAACAGGCAACAACGCCCAACAACGTGTTGCAATGAATGATGAATGCTTCATCCTTACCAAAATTTTTTTCACTTTTGCTGTGCTATCGCTTCCGCCACCTTAAGCTTCCTATTTCTATTCATTCACTCAACAATCCCTTACGTCATTAGGTAATTGGTTCTGATCACGTTGTACGTGATATTGTGGTTGTGGTTGAATACCTGACAACCTCACTTTTATGCAGAAATGGAAGTAACTAGCTATTATTGATCTGATGTTAACATTGAAAGTTTTTTTAAGACCGATCTTCACTTGAGTTAAGAATGCCTCGTTTAAATGGTCGTTAAATCTGACATCACTCATCAATTTCAGAAACCGATCAGTGAAACTGATTGCGGTGTAAATAGTTGTCAAAATTCACTTCTATGATGATTAAAAGTAAATTGGAATTCCAACTTTCTCTATGAGCAGCTTATTTCTTAAACCAAATTTTATTTTCTTTTTTTTTTTACTTTCAGCACAAATAATAAAATATTCCAGAAATGCCAATTAAAGGCGTTGCGTACAACCAAGTTTTCATTGATATGAAGACAAAAATCACTAGTTATGGCCCACATAATGGTATCATTGTTCAATGTGGCATTCAGCAAGAGCCCAGTGTGTTCTGGCCCTGTGTTCTAAATGGTGTTCCAAATTCTATGTTTTCTCAACGATTTGATGTAGCACTAACACCTGTTACAACTCATTGGCCAACTATGGAGGACGCTAGCGATAATCCACGAAATAAGGGCGCATTTATGCCAAATCAACATTATCAGTCAATCGGCAAAGATGTGACCTCATCCAATAATTTCAATTCATCTGGAAAAGTGTGCTTAAATGTCGTCGAAACGGTTCATTTTCAAGTTATTTTCTTCAATTCAGGTTTGTCAGATCAATAAGTAAATTGTCAGTATCTAAAGCTAGTTCCTTAATTTGTTGTTCCAAGTGAAATATAGAAATAATTTGATACTGTCTAATTCTGATCATTTTAATACATTATGAAAATTGTATTATGGTGAAAAAGTTCTCTGAATTTTTAATCGCTTTTTAAAGCAATTGTTGAAGTCGTTCGGAGGCTATACAATTTCATAGTAGGAGACGAAATGGGTGCAAAAATGCTGGTGAGTCCAAATTCAATAAATGATCATATTGTAAAAATTGAATCTTGTATCCTATCTTGTTTTAGAATCCAATGATGGCTGAGCTTGAGTCGTTCAGTGTGATACCGAGCAGTTACAAATCAGATCTGTATAGTACAATTCCTAAAATTTCCAACGATGCTGTTCCAAATGTGAGGAAACCTCTGACAACTGCTCAAAATGTTGATCATCATTGGAGTGCAGAAAAAGCAATGAGAAAAGAAGCATTAAATCAAAATATGAGGTATCTGAATTTATACTTCTGTAAATTTCAACAATACTTTATTTCTTCCTGAAGAAGAGTACTATCTATATTATATGGATGAGACTGATAAACTCCGTACAATAATTATTGTACTGAATAAATTTTCATTTTAATATGAATTTGCATAAGACTGAAACTTGTAATATATTCTGGAAGAGGCGGGCAACATGTTTCAACTACTCGAATAGATTCAATTTTTTCGAATAGATTTTAAATTCAGGTCTTACCCTGACAAAACAGTCCTGTATAAGAACAGCGCCAGTTGCAAACATTACAGTGAACCCAGTGATGAAGTTGCGAAATACGATTATAATCAAATTTAGAAAGAGTTTGCGAGAGACCCTACTTTGAGAGAAATTCCTATGGTGACAACTGGTCCAAAAATGACTACTGAATTTACAAACGGTGTCACAGTACATTGGCAGAAAACCAGTGACCGTAGATTTTCGGAACATTTAGCTAGCTCACCTGCATATCTCTCGAATCAGCAATGGCAGCAGTGCAGAAATACGCCAGATTTGTGTCACCTACAGTCAAATCACCGGGAAGTTCCGGAGCAACTCTATCATTTGTATGAAACACATGACACCTTTGGAAATTAGTTGGCGCGATTATGATTTCTTCCTTTCTCTCTCTCTCTCTCTCCCTCCCTTTCTTGCAATTCTTTTGAATTATATAAGGACTTTTTTTTTTTTCACGACATTTCAAACTATTGCATTTCAATACCTTTAATTTTGAAAGTATTTCGAGACATTGAAGTGCATTAGAATAACGATTCAAATTTCAATTTCTTTTCACGAACAGATGCCTTAATAGTTTATAATGCTCTTTGTCTCTTTTTTAGTGATATGGAAATTGAAATAAGCGAACAACTCCTGCCTCGACTATCATCGTTGAACATTTCAAAGAAACATCTCAGCACTAATTATAATGCAAACAACAAAAATTTAATGGAAAATTTCGGTCTGCCTCTAATTCCTGAAAATTTTTCAACGAGATCGAGACTGGAAAATGGTGATCGCAAGGAACCAATGCCGGAGCATTATTCTCATTATTCTCTTCAGCATTATTCTCAGCCTTCTACCAATATTTTCAGCGATGTCGATATCTTGCGACATGCTTGCGATTTGCTATATATACGATCAGCCATTCCAACATTGTTGATTCCCACTTCGTTGAAAAAACTACAGGAAAGTATCGTTCGCACAAAACCAGACGCAATAAAAATTTCCGCTGATGGAACCAAATGTTTTCCTGAAAAGACCGCATCAGAATACTCAGAACTTCCATCGAACATGTCGCCAGCTACAAATTCTCAACAACTGGAGGTGACTGCTGAAAAGGAATTGATGGAGAAAGAAGGAAACTTAGAAAATACTTTAGAGGAATTGAGAATTTGCAGTACGGACACTGACGGCATACATAGTGTGGGGACCATCTCAATGAAATCCATTTTACATAAGTCATCTCGAAAAAACAGCTTGGGGAAAAAAGTTCATTTCCCCGCAGAACAGCCACGGGTAATTGCATTAGAGCATCGTCTTCTGATTGAAAATCTCCATTTGGTATAAAATTTCATCCTTTTTTAGGATTCTCAAAAAAATTCAGTTTTCTGGAATAGAAAATCGTATAATAATTTCAATTAACTTCGTAGAATTCCATTGTAGGCTATGGATTTTGAAGAAACTCTTCTGAAAAATTCGGTTGGGATCATTCCAATCAGGAAATCCTTCCCTAAGTATTTCATCATGTTTTATCCCAGTATCATATTTTATAAATAATCACTGTGAATTTGATAAAAGTGCTCTGATTCCAGTTTACTGTTTGTATAACTCTTTACAAAAGCGCACAAACAGTATCAATTTTGCAAAAATATGTTTTTTTTGAAGACTGTAAAACAGAATAATTCAGGAAAGTATGAGACATGAAGAATACAAAGTTACGTAAATTGTGCATAAATGTATAACAAATAAGAATCATATTCGCGAAAAATCCGTGGTGATGAAATTCGATGCACTTCTGTCGTTCAATAAGTCTCGTTTATCCAAAGGGCAGAAAAAACTTAGAATCCACAGACACAATATTGGAAGTCAACATCAATTCGTTAATTCGTGATGCTTTTTCCAATTTATTATTGATATATCTGATAAGAAAGCATTGAAATAATCGCGACATATGAGTTACAAAAAATAATCATTTGTATTTTTCCTTCATGAACATCTCATCAGCAAAGCTAGCTGCAGTCCATTAACTGTACGCGCAGATTTGACTGAATCCAAACGACATCGATCCGTTTTCATCACCTTAAATATTAGATTTTACAATCATATGTTAAGGAATTCAGATGGGGCAAGATACTCCCAATAACATCCAACCATCTCTCCTAAAGATGAAGTGATCGAAGTCAGGAGTTATACAGATGGATATTAGAGGAAACAAAGATACTCCGTAATACACGCCAATGTTGATTTTGATAATATTTTGTGACACCGTTATTAGAGCCAGTTCCTTCATGTTTGTGACGACTTCTTTCACATATTCAAAACACCCGCAGGGCTGTAGTGCTTCACCAAACGATGGCCGATTGTAATACTGTATTAGTTGATTTCGGGATCGATCAAATTTGAAGAAACAGTTAGAGCAGGGGATGAATATTTCACTCCCATTTGGCTCTAAGCCCTGCAATCGAGGTTCAAAATTTCTTTCAAATTCTGATTAACAGATTCAATACATCGAAATTTGTAGTGCTCTTTGGAGGGTATTTCTTTTCCAAAATTATTTCTGCATTTTGAGTTGCCAGAACATATTATTTTCAAGAATTACTCACCACAGTTCAAGAAATATCCAAGGCATGCACATAACAGATTGATGTATTTCGTGCCTCCTTACTAAATGTCCTCTTCGAAACGGAGAATGAAAAAACGAAGCTTACGATAGACAGATTCAACTTCAACACCTAAGTTGAAAGAGGCCAGTTACTGAACCATTTGAACAGCTTATCCGAATATTCAATAGAAACCGAAAGTGAACAAACCATCCGCACCGCAGTCTCAGACGATAGTGGTACAAACACATATGCTATACTATGACGACCCTCGATACAATTCATACGATAAATAATAGTTACTTCAAGTACTGCCATCAGTGCTTCGAGCATATTTCCACCAAAACTTATCTATACATCACAAAAAAATAAAGAAAACTTCACTCGCTAAGCAGTTCACTAAGGTTGAAATACTCTCGTCGTAATTTCTCAAAAATCATTTCATCCACGGAGTCACTGGTTCTCGGTATATTTCAGGTCAGCGCATTTTTGTATAGAGCCGTTTCCGCCTCCTACTATTACTAATGCAAATCTCTTGGACTCAATCTTCGGTGGGAAAATTAAACACAAAGAAAGTGGAAACTTTCTACCATAGATGGATATGGGGAAAATGCCATTGGGTCTTGCCTTCTCTTCCTTCTACATGAAATATAGGAATGGGAGGAAAGGGAAAAGGAAAAACTTATTGGATGCTTTTGTTAACGTTAATAATATATTCTGCACAGAATTGCGGCCTTCCATTCCAGTGATGTCTATCAAACAATGATTTGTTTATTTCACCAAATAAATGATTCATTAAAACGAGAGAGAAAAATGACGATCACTTCTTCATTCCCATACTTCTGAAACATAAAAAACGAGTGAGATGTCGTTGTTGCATAGTGAATACGAGGAGAAGTGACATGGAATGTGAAGGATAAAGCAGCGTTGTCAGGAAGCGTGAAGGGTCAGAAATGGACGATGATTTCATGGATGACCAGGACTATGGTTTGGTACGTTACCTTACTTGTCTTCTCTCATTCTCTTTAACTCTGGTGAAGTAGGAGAAGAATAATGAAGGTGAGAGACGAGGGAATTCAATCAATTCGACTAAGTTCATTGCAGGAATATTCGGATGATTCTGCCAGTGAACCGGATGTGGATTTGGAGAATCAGTATTATAATGCAAAAGCTTTAAAAGCCGAGAAAGAATTTGACAGCGCTTTGAAGACTTTTAAACACGTGTTGGAATTGGAAAGTGAGAAAGGAGAATGGGGATTCAAAGCGCTCAAACAGATGGTCAAGATAACATTTGCTGCAGTAAGCTTATCTCCTCTAGTTAATTTGTTGGTAGCTGCGGTATTTCGCCTCGATTAAGAATAAACATCACCTCACAAACGACTTGTCACAAGTGAAAACCATTTGTGAGATTTTCTGTGATCTTTAAATTTGGAGCTTGAGCAAATTGAATGTGTGTTACAGAATCGTTATGATGAAATGCTAAAGTATTATCGGCAATTACTCACCTACATCAAATCAGCTGTTACGAAGAACTATTCAGAAAAATCAATAAATTCAATTTTGGACTATATTTCAACCTCAAAACAAATGGATTTGTTGCAAATATTTTACGAGACAACCTTGGATGCATTAAAGGTTTTCTATTATTCTATTTCCAGTCGATTAAAGTAATAAGTCACAATTTTCAGTACCGCTATTGCTTTATATGGATTAGCATCATTAAGAACACTTTAAGCTTGTATGCTTGTTCAGGATGCCAAGAATGAACGGTTATGGTTCAAGACGAACACAAAGCTTGGAAAATTGTATTTTGACCAAAAAGAATTTGGAAAACTGGAGAAAATCATTAAACAGTTGCGAAATTCATGTAAGGTGAGAGATTTCTAGTCAGAATGTGTGTTATTATGTTTCTTTACAGAACCTGCTTAAATTTTATAGGTTTAGCGCCACTGTGTCTCGCAAAATTACAATATTTGAATACAACCCTGAATTTTCGGGATATTGCATAACAGGAAGCAGTTATAAGTTAAAGCAACTTTCATTTCAGAATGAACTCGGTGAAGAGGACCAGAAGAAGGGCACCCAACTGCTTGAAATTTACGCCCTCGAAATTCAGATGTATACAGAACAAAAGAATAACAAAGCTTTGAAGGCGCTTTACGAACAAAGTTTACATGTTAAAAGTGCAATACCACATCCACTTATTATGGGCGTTATTCGCGGTTTGTTCTTGTTTTCTTATCGTATTCTACATTTACTTTTGTTACTGAAGATTAATTCATAATACTCGAGGAATTTTCTAAAAAAAATCATTGAAAAAAAAGTGCTAAATTCTGATTTTTTTCTAGAGTGTGGAGGAAAGATGCATTTACGAGAAAAACAGTTTGAAAAAGCTCATACTGATTTTTTTGAAGCATTTAAAAATTATGATGAAAGTGGTTCGGAGCGAAGAATTGCATGCTTGAAATATTTGGTACTTGCGAATATGTTAATTAAGTAAGTGACTTCGACTGGGTTTATAATTGCTTTATTTCAAACACATATGCATCATTATTAACTGCATGTGCAAAAATGTTGACGCAAAAAAACTTTCGTTTATAATAAATATTCTTGATAGATAATTACTTTATTTTTTAGATCCGGAATAAATCCATTTGATAGTCAAGAAGCGAAGCCATTCCGCAACGATCCTGAAATAGTTGCAATGAATCAACTTGTGGGAGCTTACCAAGACAATAATTTAATGGAATTTGAAAGTATTCTTGAAAAAAATCGTGATGCTGTTATGGCTGATCCATTTATTCGTGAACATATTGAAGAACTGCTTACCAACATCCGTTCGCAGGTCCTATCATTGTTTTTCACGTTTGCAGTGCGTATTTCAACAATTCAACGAACCTGACTAGTTCATTTGTACGTTACAGGTATTAATAAGTCTTTGTGTGCCATACTCTCGGATTTACTTGTCATTTCTTGCGGAAGAACTTCACGTTCAAGTGGAAGAAGTTGTGGTGCTTCTTGCCGATTTGATTCTCGATGGTGCATTGAATGCAAAGATTGATGAAATTAATGGTATCCTGGTATCCGAATCAACTAATAAAGCAACACGGTATTCATGTCATCCTTACATATTTGACAATAAATAGCCGGTTCCGTATGTACTGAATTTCATCCAAATACTTCTCCAAACACAGACTCCATGGTGCAGAAGCGTTTGAAAATTAATCATCCAGTTCAAATGCTATACTGAAGTATTTTAAATTAAGAAGAAGGGAAAAATATAGGGAAAGGTATGCTCATTTAAAATGGTTGGTAAAACAAAGCATAAAGTATGCTCCATCGAGTTAAAGCTCGTTGGGATGCTCTACGCCATTATGCCACAAATTTTACATCATTGTATAAGGGAAAGAAGAACCGTCACTTTAATTCCGCAGGGTCTCTTTGTTTTGGTTCATTTTCTGGAATTAAGTTTTTCAAAATCTTGCTTGAAGTCATTGCATTCACTTTCAATCTTTCAGATGCACTGCAATTGCGAGATGTGCGAAACAGTTATCTTCATTGCACCTTTCAATTGTAGACAGATGTTCATAATATTAATCTCAGAGAATCTCGTGTGCACTTCCGTGGTTGGACTTCACTTGTGTCTAATTTCTACTTTCATGTTTGGCATAATCCAGCTGCATTCTATTTAAAGGTAGCATCAACTCTGCTCTATTACAATAAAATGAGTGTAGCATAAAAGTAGTTATACAAATATGACACAAGTGCAGGCTAGCCTTGTTGTTTGTGTTTTGTTGTCACATAATTTATCGTAGTAAATACATTTGAACAAAATTCAATAGTAGGGGTCATATTACTTGGTTTCCTCAGTCTGTTAGGGATTTTTCGGCGAATATTCGTCGAAATAAAGATTCGAAACAGTGATTTTCTGTACAGTTGTCGAATTCTCATTTTGTACGTCCCATTATGCATTCTGTTCGTGATTGTGTAGATGATTCATATATAAATTACGAAGAAGTCCTTAAAAATCGTCTCGGTTCAATTTCCACGTATTTTCGCTGCTTTGATTGCTAATAAATTATTCTTCGTGATTCAGCGTTCATAAGAACAGTGTCCATTGTGGTCCAACTAAATATTACGAAATTGCATTTCCTAAGTGATGCCTTGTGTTTTAGATATTATTATAAATCTTTTTTTTGTCCTTTAATTTTAAAAAATGGTGGACATTTCTTCGCATTCTTTTTTGAATCCACGAAATTGGATTTCAGAATCTGGATATACCACTCTTTTGGCTTGCTGTTTTGATCGTTTCGTTTTCACCAGTTTGCTATGAAATGGATATGGATTAGAAGAGGTGGATTAGAAGAGGTGAACGAAGGGGAAAAAAGTTTGAAATCTTTTTCCCCTTCTTCTAAGCTAAATTAGGAAACTTGGCTTGTTGGTTCGGAACTATTTAAAAACATTGTGTTTGCAGTAATTCGGTAAATGGCTTCCGTATTATCCTCTACAAAGCCCATACGGACTATTGCGGCTGAGCGACGAAAGAAGGTTATTGCATTGATGATTACTGCTTAAGAATTACTAGGTTATGTTGCTTATAAAAAATATCGCAAAAGAATTGAGTGAGGTCTCGAGGTTTCCTTTTTCTCATAGAAGGCACTTCACATAATATAGCTTGTATCCTTATATTCACACAATATATCTTATATTCATAATATAGCTTGTCAGTTCTCCTTTTACCTTTAAAGCTTTCCCTGCTCTCCGCTATACTTTCCATTTCCCAAATGATTCTTTTGTGCTCAAACAACTTGTGTTTTTCATAGTATCAATTTCTTCTAGTTGCATTTTATGACGCAAATGGTACTGCTATTCACATATTTCTTTCTCTGTATAAAGTGATTAGCGTAAGTAGATAACATGAGTACGATTTCGATAGATGTGATGGATTGAAAAGCATTTGATTTATAGGTTTTTTGGGTCAATTGCCAGTGGATTTCTTGCGTATAACTGTCCCCTCGTCAATTTCACTTCAAAGGCAACAGCAACAGTCTACAGTTCCTTTCTATGTTGGGGATCCTAATTTGGTTGCTCAACAAGCTCTTTTGCAGGCGCAGGTATTACATTCACAGATTTGTAAGTTGTATTCACTCATTAGCACTTTTTTTCAGTAACATTATGTGGAGGAGGAGGATGAGTGTTTTATTCAGTTATTTCGAAACTTCACCTTCTACATGTTTTCAGCGCTTCTACAGCTCTGCGCCGCCGAATACACGTGGTCGTATTTCGATAACGGTCGTAGAGGCAAAGCTGGTAAAAAACTATGGTTTGGTAAGGATGGATCCCTATTGTTGTGTACGGGTAGGGAATGCCATTTTTGAAACACAAAGAAATATAAATGGTGGTAAAACACCGAAATGGAATCGCATTATCAATGCCTACTTACCATATGGTGTCGAGTCGTTCTATCTTCAAGTTTTTGATGAAGTGAGGATTTCTTTTTTTGCTCTTCCCATTTCGGATAGTTTATTGACTCGCACTATTTCAGCTTTGGTCATTTTTTTATTTGTTTAAACTTCTATTTGTTTTGAAGAAAGCATTTACTGCTGATGAATGCATTGCATGGGCACATATAATAATTCCAAATGCTGTATTTGGCGATGAGATAATCGATGACTGGTATCAACTTTCTGGACAACAGGTGATTTCCCAAGTCTATCATTTTAAGGTAAATTTTTT